TCCACGAGTGCCATCTATTATTGCCTTGTTTATCTAAAAGTGCTCTTTCCCTTTAAACCTAGCCAAAAAGCCGTATGTGTTGACTGTGAAATACAGTAGACCTTAATAATATGCATTTATGGTGTAATTACTACATTTTCGTGTCAATCCATGTTCATATTTACTGCAAACATTACGCTGTTATTTTAATCCTTCGCTTGCAGCGCAGCAAAAATAGACTTGGTGCGGAAACGATCTCTGCACTGCTGCAGATGCACCGCTCCTGAACGTACTACCGGACCGCAACCGTGTGCAGTGAACGCTTTAATTTGTTAACATTAGCACGGAAAAAATATGCACCACGTATGCACTGCAAACAGAGTAATGTGAACCTGGCATTATGTGTGTGCGCTGCGAGTGGGCATGAGTTCACGGTCTCCAGGAGAGCGCGCGAGCGCTGAATGATTAAACACTGGCAAGAATTAAAAAGTAATGCAATTTATAAACTTTAGTGATGATGTGACACTGCCTCGATTGTGCAAGTCAAAATTCCTGTGTCAACTGTGCAGCTCGCTTATAGATAGATGCGATGTGGTGATTTGAAGCCAAATGTGTATTTTGAGAGAGAAAGAGAGAGTGCGCGTGGTGATTCACTCACGCTGTTTGTGAAATTACGTCTCACACAAGGTTTTCAATTTACTTTATAAGTTATTTAATGAAGAAATATGAAGGGGAGTACCTCACCTTCAGCATTCTAATTATTTCACTCATGCCCGACAGAGACTGAGACGGTGAGACGGCATGTCGTGCCAAACCTCTCACGGCAGACGCATCATCAACTTGAGATTGTTTTTTTGAGATCTGCCTTTTTAGAGACCGCCGATCAAACATCCCAACGTGATTATCGGCCGATAGTGATCGGTAGCCGACCAATCGGAGCACCTCTAGTAATTAATGACAGAATTTTAATTTTTGGATAAACTATCCCTTTAACAACACTCGCTGCACGGATCACAGTTCTTATCCGGACCAGAGCAAACGTATTACAAGTTTATGTGAACATATTTCATATTCCCGTGCTCCAAACATTACCCAGCACCATGTATCCGCACATATCATGTCTTCTACAAATGAAATATGCACAAATAAGGGCACTGATACAGCGGAACATTTGATCATAAACGCAATGACACAACAGACTATTGTGATACACCGCAAACAATGATAAGAGCCCAAAAATTCAAAGAAGAGTAAACAAAAAGTAACTATGCCTTTATTCTTTCTGTTTTAAACTGATATGTGTCATTTGTTCTGAGACTGTAGTGCTGGCAAACGTGAAAATATTATTAGAACTTTTAAATGTTTTCTTCATTTTTCATATAGACCAATATCTCTGCTTACTTATTTCAAATAATAATTTATCAAAAGATATTTGATTTGTTCATGAAAGTTTAAAAAAAATTCTTGAGTTCATTATTTTATTCTTAAAATATATCAAGGTGGCACATATCTTCGTTGTTGTTTGTTTTGTTTTTTAATTTCTCGGCTCATATTTTAATATTCATTTGTCTGTATAATGAGTGTGTTGTACAGTAGGCAGAGGTGGACAGCAGTGAAGTATTTTTACTTTACTCAATACATTTAAGAAGTATCTGTACTTTATCAGAGTGCTTTTCTTTGGAAAACTTTTACTTCACTACATTCCAAATCATAATGTCGTACTTTTTACTACACTACATTTCATAAATAAAAGTTGTTGTTTTTTTCTACCTTTAATACTTAAGAACATGTAGTACTTTCTTGTACTCAAGTAAAACTTTGAATTACTTTTACTTGAGTAAAAGTAAGAAAGTACTAGATTTATAATGTAATTAAGTATTAAATGATATTTAATATGAAACGTGCAGTAAAAAGTACAATATTATGCTTTGGAATGTTGTGAAGTAAAAGTTTTCTATAGAAAAACACAATGTACAGACACTTGAAAAGTACTTTTACAGCAGAGTAAAAATACTTCACTACTGTCCACCTCTGGTTGTAGGTCTGTGTTTTATTGGTTGTTTTCTCCCCTCTTCCCACCCTCTACACTCCCACTTTTCCACAGATTTACACGCCCATTTCTTGAGTCTTTTTCAAATCTGAGGTGTGAACAGCCAGTGCTAAAACAGGGGGTTTCCCGACACTTTAAAATAAGTTTTTAAAAACGGTTTATTGTAGTGCTTCAGAAAACCGTTAGTACAACAGGGCTGCAAGCTCATCATAGGTGAAACAGATGCAGCCCTCAGGAAGAAAAATTCAACTATACTTTAAAATATATAAAAAAAAAGATCTCTACTTTAGTTGTCTCAGGCCACATGCAAGTTTGCATTCCTGTATTTCAGTGGCACAGAAATGATTCACTGTGTGGTGTGTGTATGAAGTGCATGTGTGTTTGCGCACCTTGTGTGTCCTGCTGTAGGCGTACAGGTGTGCCAGACGATAGAGACTCTTGTAGTGTTGCGGGAAGCGACTCAGACACAGGAAGAGAGACCTCACACACACATGCACTAGTGTTTTCCTCTGCTCTCTCCATCCCGGTGGTAGACACTTAGGCAGCTCTATTACCTCCAGCGGAGGCGGCAGCTCTGGCTTGCGCTTGCCCTCACTGGAGGAGCTGGTCTGGGGGTGAGGTCTTTGTGGTTGGGCGGAGTGCAGCGGATGAGGTGGAGCTTGGGTCGGGGTGTCTGAGGTAGGAGTTTTGGGAACGGAGGCCTCAGGGGACGTGATGGATAAGGTGGTGTCCGAAGACTCTTGGGTGACTGAAGATTCTTGAGAGAGTGTGGCGGAGCTGATATCCATGTTCTTGTCCTCCAAGGGGCCTGTGGGATTTCAAGAGGGCAGAGGTGACCACCAGCTGCAGATATTGATTGTAAAAAGCAGCAGAATAGGAGAAAATAATCTACTGCGTTTTGTGCTCTTGGCAAGACAGATATTGGCTAAATTTTATGAAAAGTGTCAAGTTTTGACAGACATGTTCTAAGAAATTATAGCTAGGAAAATCCTAAGAAATTATATATATATATATATATATATATATACACACTGAGACCAAGATAAACTTATTTGGTTCAGATGGGTTTGTGGGTTTGTGGCGGCAACCAAAATGTGAGGGGTGTACTCACTTCTGTGAGATACTGTATGTATGTGTATATATATATATATATATATATATATATATATAATAATTATTATATACAGTGTGAAGCACTGGCTGCTATCAGACTCCTTGTGCAAACAAAAATCTCACTGGATTATTACAATTAATGGCAAAATGTATGTTTGGAAATGTAAACTGATATTTTCTAATGACACACTACAGAAAAAGATAGAAATAACTGACTTAAAACCATTTTTTATCTAGTGAAAATACTAGTGTTCTAATCATTTTGTCCACCACTGCATATAAGATTATTCTTCCATTTTTTTTTTAAATTGTGACATTTTCAAGACAACTGACCGTTCGCAAAGACCTGCCCTCCTCAGTTACTGTTGCCATCCCTGACAAACAATGCCTCTCTCACACTACACGTTCTCACACAGTGAAAAATACATCGCAGAGCAAAGAGGAAACTGACAACACACTGACAGACAAGACAGAGCAGGTTACTTCTAGTATGAAACAAGGTCTCAGGACTCTCAGCTTTCAAATTTTATCATTTTTAAAGAAATTCAAACAATATATACCGTTTTGTGGCTCTTTAATGTGTCGTGACATATCGCTGTATTGCCTCAGTTCAAACATGTGAACCGATCGTCTTTTCATATTTACTTAAAGCACAAAACGAACATGAATAAACATCAGAAGTTATTTTGTTTTAACCGCGGAACACACCATTTTTCAAGTTTAAGTCCACCTATGTTAATCTACTCTTTTGTCTGATTTGTGGTTAAGACTAGAAGGGATACAGCTGCGGCTACTGGGCATTTGCATTTACATATTTTCCGAGCCAAGAATGTAACGTGAAACCTATGAAAATGGTTTTAAAAAGCACACTGCGCCATAGTTTCATCCCTTTAGAGTGTCGCAGTGACGGTCTTTTCGCCGTAAAGGACCTGTCATAGTTTAATGAGTGGGAAGATGACATGAAGCGACGCAAGGTTAACGTTAGCTGCACTGAAAACAGATGAGCGCACATGTGTACATACAGCATATACAGCTTATTATTTAACACTCAATATTTTAACTTAAATGCTGCAAACAATGCATACAGCATCGGACAGATTTTCTGGTACGCAAAACAAGTACTTTAAAGGAATTCCTTAGCTTATTGCCGTTACTGTAGCAGCCAACAACAGCACAGCTTAACCATCTGCACATTTGTATATTTAGTTATATTGAAAAAGCTTCAATTCTTTTTTACCCCGTTTTAACATGGTTTTCTATGGAGACAGGCCTTAGCTGTCGGGCAAGATGGCGGATAACAGCAGCGGCACATAATATCCGCGCTTAGCTTATTGCCGTTACTGTAGCAGCCAACAACAGCACAGCTTAACCATCTGCACATTTGTATATTTAGTTATATTGAAAAAGTTTCAATTCTCTTTTACCCTGTTTTAACATGGTTTTCTATGGAGACAGGCCTTAGCTGTCGGGCAAGATGGCGGATAACAGCAGCGGCACATAATATCCGCATTCTGATTGGTCAGATCACCTGTCAATCAAGCTCCATGCGAACAGTCAATTAAGATTATTTTATAGTAATGTAACAAAATTCTGTACAACCACTTATTTACTACTGTACATAAGTTTGGGGTTGGTGAGATGTTTGAATTTTTTGTTTTGTTTTTTAAGTCTCTTATGCTCACCCTGCCTGACTTTATTTGATCCGAAATACATAAAAAAAATTATAATAATATTACATTTTTAAAAAATGTTTTCTCTTTGAATAATTTTTCAAATGTAATTAATTCCTGTGAATTTTCAGCATTATTACTCTAGTCTTCACATGATCCTTTAGTTCAATATTTTGTGGAAGCAGTGATATATTTTTCTGTGGTGCAGCAGAAAATAATATATATATATATATATAAAAATAAATTTATATAAAAGCATTTATTTGAAATTTAAATCTTTTAACTTTATAAATGTCCTTAGTCACTTTTAATTGATTTAAAGTGTTCCTGCTGAAAAAATAAGAAAAAGGTAAAAAATCTTACCACAAGCTTTTGAATGGTAGTGTAATATCATAAAAAGAACCATGTAAAATACTAAATGTTAAATATTAATACTAAACATTAAATACATTTTTCACAATGTAATGAGACTTTGCATTATGCACGTGTTTAGAAGAACTGGGATCAATACCTGCGTCCTCTATTGTGGCCGGTTTCTCTTTTCCGATAGCATTTGATTCTTCCGGAAAAATACTACACTTCCCAGGATCGACCTTGTGGCTGCTGTCCTGTGAGCTGGTGGCGTCCATGAAGACATCCTGCAAGGAGCTGGAGTCTGACAAGCCAGCAACGCTGTCCTGACTTTGCTCTGATTTAGGGAAAAAATACCACACAATTACACTCATTCAACAAGACCTTCATCTTTTGTCCTCTCTAAATATTCATTTAATTAAAAAGACCCTTTGTTCAGATTGTTTCAGATTCACCCAAATGGCACAATCCACAAATCAACAGAGATCCCAAGATGAATTGTGTAAAAATCCTCCAATGAACACAAGGCTGGAAACATTTGCCGGATTTGACAGATTTACAAATGGTAGCTAAACCTGAAGAGCAGGCAGGCTTATGTTGGGATAAGGTTTTGGATTTTAACAGAGAAAGGGAAATTAGGATCCTGTACCTGAGAGCATTTACTATCATTTTCTACAAATTAAAGGAATAGTAATAGAGTGCTGCAAGAATGAGTCCTAAAACCCAGAAACCAGTTGAGTGGGTAATTGGATTTTTTGAATGGGTTTTTGGTTAAATGCCTGAAATAAGGTCTGTGTTTAACACAAGCCCAAGAATCGTCAATGTTTTTTTCTATGATGTACAATGCATCAGCAATATCCCACTCACGATTTTTTTTTAAAGATATTACGGCTGCTCCTTCGGAGGCAGCATTCCAAGGCAGGTAGGCATCAAGGCACGTCCGAATCCAAATTCTGCTTTACTTCCCGTCTCCGGAGGTACCTTTTTCTGATTGAATTTAAAAGGCAGCATAGATGTATCCTTCGCTGTAATGAGTGGGAAGATGACATGAAGCGACGCAAGGTTAACGTTAGCTGCACTGAAAACAGATGAGCGCACATGTGTACATACAGCATATACAGCTTATTATTTAACACTCAATATTTTAACTTAAATGCTGCAAACAATGCATACAGCATCGGACAGATTTTCTGGTACGCAAAACAAGTACTTTAAAGGAATTCCTTAGCTTATTGCCGTTACTGTAGCAGCCAACAACAGCACAGCTTAACCATCTGCACATTTGTATATTTAGTTATATTGAAAAAGCTTCAATTCTTTTTTACCCCGTTTTAACATGGTTTTCTATGGAGACAGGCCTTAGCTGTCGGGCAAGATGGCGGATAACAGCAGCGGCACATAATATCCGCGTTCTGATTGGTCAGATCACCTGTCAATCAAGCTCCATGCGAACAGTCAATTAAGATTATTTTATAGTAATGTAACAAAATTCTGTACAACCACTTATTTACTACTGTACATAAGTTTGGGGTTGGTGAGATGTTTGAATTTTTTGTTTTGTTTTTTAAGTCTCTTATGCTCACCCTGCCTGACTTTATTTGATCCGAAATACATAAAAAAAATTATAATAATATTACATTTTTAAAAAATGTTTTCTCTTTGAATAATTTTTCAAATGTAATTAATTCCTGTGAATTTTCAGCATTATTACTCTAGTCTTCACATGATCCTTTAGTTCAATATTTTGTGGAAGCAGTGATATATTTTTCTGTGGTGCAGCAGAAAATAATATATATATATATATAAAAATAAATTTATATAAAAGCATTTATTTGAAATTTAAATCTTTTAACTTTATAAATGTCCTTAGTCACTTTTAATTGATTTAAAGTGTTCCTGCTGAAAAAATAAGAAAAAGGTAAAAAATCTTACCACAAGCTTTTGAATGGTAGTGTAATATCATAAAAAGAACCATGTAAAATACTAAATGTTAAATATTAATACTAAACATTAAATACATTTTTCACAATGTAATGAGACTTTGCATTATGCACGTGTTTAGAAGAACTGGGATCAATACCTGCGTCCTCTATTGTGGCCGGTTTCTCTTTTCCGATAGCATTTGATTCTTCCGGAAAAATACTACACTTCCCAGGATCGACCTTGTGGCTGCTGTCCTGTGAGCTGGTGGCGTCCATGAAGACATCCTGCAAGGAGCTGGAGTCTGACAAGCCAGCAACGCTGTCCTGACTTTGCTCTGATTTAGGGAAAAAATACCACACAATTACACTCATTCAACAAGACCTTCATCTTTTGTCCTCTCTAAATATTCATTTAATTAAAAAGACCCTTTGTTCAGATTGTTTCAGATTCACCCAAATGGCACAATCCACAAATCAACAGAGATCCCAAGATGAATTGTGTAAAAATCCTCCAATGAACACAAGGCTGGAAACATTTGCCGGATTTGACAGATTTACAAATGGTAGCTAAACCTGAAGAGCAGGCAGGCTTATGTTGGGATAAGGTTTTGGATTTTAACAGAGAAAGGGAAATTAGGATCCTGTACCTGAGAGCATTTACTATCATTTTCTACAAATTAAAGGAATAGTAATAGAGTGCTGCAAGAATGAGTCCTAAAACCCAGAAACCAGTTGAGTGGGTAATTGGATTTTTTGAATGGGTTTTTGGTTAAATGCCTGAAATAAGGTCTGTGTTTAACACAAGCCCAAGAATCGTCAATGTTTTTTTCTATGATGTACAATGCATCAGCAATATCCCACTCACGATTTTTTTTTAAAGATATTACGGCTGCTCCTTCGGAGGCAGCATTCCAAGGCAGGTAGGCATCATGGCACGTCCGAATCCAAATTCTGCTTTACTTCCCGTCTCCGGAGGTACCTTTTTCTGATTGAATTTAAAAGGCAGCATAGATGTATCCTTCGCTGCCTTTGATATCCCACAATTCTGTGCGTTCCATTCCGTGACGGTTGAGCTAAAAAAATAAAGATGGTGTCTGAAAGTTGTGTTTGGTGGTCAGTTTGTATGTAAATGTATATTTCTGATGAACTTTTCGCACTTTTGATGTTATTTCTAGCGAGAAATCAGTATTATAGTAATTAAATATTCGTTTATCACCAAAAGTCGTTCTATTTTGTTGTAGATCATTAAACTTTTATGCTGCCTCAGAAGCCTGTCCGAAATCAGTTTCACGAGGTGCCTCTGCAAAAACGCTGCCTGCGAAGTCATTGCCTGATAAGACAACGAGGCAGCAAGTCAGCTGCCCAGGCTTTCGGACGCAGGCTACATGTCTTGAAACAGGTAGTTACAAGTGGCTAAATGGGACTACAAAGATTTTCTTTAACATTAAATCAATCAGGTAAACTCATTTATTCACTAGTCTGCCTTTACTGCCTTGTTCGGTTTATAATGGCGATCTTGTAAACTATTTTAACTCAAACTTTCCAACTTGCAGATTTGAACTCTTTCCCCACCATTGATATAATTTTCCATCATTTATGAGATGACACTTCCCCGCCATTGAGCAAATTCTCCAGGTTTCTGTGTTTTCACTACTATACGGTAGGAAGCGATATTTCACATCTTCTAAAAAAATACTGAATCTCCGGATCAAAACAAGGTGAAGAGGAAGCAGAAATAGGTGATCGCATATGTCAGCTGATGCGTACGTAAAATAGCGCGATCATCAAGCATTAAACAGCATATAAATAACACCGCCTAATGGTACAGAATTAAATGGACATCCCAGGAAGTGGTTTATGTCTGTGCAAGTGAAGCGATCTACTCCATCTATGTTCTGATTATCATTCAGGAATCTGATCCAGATGTAGTTTTTAACAAAAATGCGATTCTCTGAGCTTTGCTAGTGAGGAAAGAGTTAAAAGAATATTTAAAAGTATATGGAAGCTAACTTTAATTTTTAACTTCTGGCAATTGTATTTAGGCTTCAAAGTTCATCATAAACTTCTGTTGGTCACAAAGCTTATTTTCTGCAATAATCCAAAGAACAATTCCTAAATTGAAAAATCTTGTTTGGTTTTTGTGGCGAGAACCAGGGTGATGCCAACTTCTGGGTTGCCATTAAAAAAATACATCACTGCAGCACTCAATTGAACACCAACATGAAAATTCTGTCATTATTTACTCACCCTAATGCTCATCCAAACCCATATGCTCTTAAATTTCTAATGCAGAATACAAAATGTTGTTGTAATGTTTTGCTTCTACCTGCTTGAAAGTCAATGAGGACAAACACTGTCAAAAAAAAGGGGGGTGGGGTTCCAAAAAAGGTAGTCTATGACTTATATTCCAAGTCTTAAATTTAAGTAGTTATTCCCTTTTAATATTTCCTTTCACAGTAATTCTCATATTTAATTTGTACTTCTGCTTATTCAAACAGCTGCATGGGCTTTCTCCTTTAAGTCATACAGGTTTTGAGGGAAATTAAGGTGAGTAATTAACAAAAGAAGAACTATTCCTTTAACAGGTACAGTGGTTTTGATCCAAGTCTGAGGTCAGAGGTTACAGGGCAAGACCACAGGATGCACGTTTCAATGCCGTGTTAAACCAGCCTGCTCCTGAGGTAGAGCAAAGCGCTTGAAAATATTGTGCTTCTCAGCAAGCCCAGAAAAGAAAGTTAATGCAATTCCTCTTGTGCTGCCCGCAAACCAGCAGAAAAAGCCCCTGAGCATGCTGGGAGTGTCAGCATTTGGCACAGAGGGTAGAAATTCATTAGCACACACCATCACCTCCATGACACAACAGAGTGCGGTGGCAACACCCCCTCCCCTCAGTTCGAAGGCGTGAGTGTGAAGGGGAAAAATGGCGCTGTGTCAGCGCAAAATTGCAGCCTCCAGTAAAGACACATTAGCAACTTTAGGCCAACACTGCCAGGAGGCCCATTAGTTGGTCTGCTACAGTTTTCAACAGGAGCTCAAGAGCATGTTAAAGACACAATGAAGGTCTAGACGGGACCCGGTTATGTGCTGGGAAGCGCTGGACAGGAAAAAAAATGACAGGCATTTCAGTGCAGAAAAGATAGATCTGATTGAGGGGGAAAATCACCAATAGAGTAAGAGTGTTGTCAAATTAATTGCACAGAAGGGACATTTGTTTTGAAAAGGACAAGTGTTACTGCATAATAATCTCTGATGTAACCCACAGTAAATATTAGAATGGTGTTGGGGTCACTTTCCTCAAAAGCAGAGCACACAACCAAACTACAGTTCCAATTTACAGTTATAAATACTGAGAGAATCAGAAAAATGACCAATGAAAGAGCTCAACAGTAACTAAACAAAAAAATTCTAAATCTTCATTGATAAAATCTTCACAGAAAGATTTTCCTTTCAATGCAGACTTACACAAAAATTAAAAAAAGTGTTTAAATGCACATTCTAGGTGAAATTCGTCAAATATGTCATAGTTTGGCAGGTGCTATATAATGCTACACATTAGCAAAATTTGGCTAGAGAAAAATGTTGTTAATGTAGCGACGTATGCAGCACAGTTCACACAGAAACCCAATTGCTTACTGTTGGTCAACGCAGCAAATCTGCGCGATCTTGTTGAACCTACACAAAAATTAAAAAAAGTGTTTAAATGCACATTCTAGGTGAAATTCGTCAAATATGTCATAGTTTGGCAGGTGCTATATAATGCTACACATTAGCAAAATTTGGCTAGAGAAAAATGTTGTTAATAATGTAGCGACGTATGCAGCACAGTTCACACAGAAACCCAATTGCTTACTGTTGGTCAACGCAGCAAATCTGCGCGATCTTGTTGAACCGGTTGCAAAATCTGTTTGGGGAAATCATTTACCATCATACAAAATTCCCATTCACGTGGATTCCTATTGAAATGACTGGATTTCGACACTTTTTCCTGTTACATTTTTGGACATTTCCAACAACCCTAAAACACTACATAATGCAATGCGTAATGCAACATACAGGTAAAACACCTGCAAAAGACCTATTGAGATTTTAAACAATGGAGAAGTGCTAATTAAAGTTACTGTTTCAGTTAAAGATTTCATGCCAAATCTATTTTGGCCAAAAATTAAATATATACAGTATATATATGTAACAACGTTTGTAGGTCGGGAAGGAGGAGGCGGGAACCGGCGGACATTCAAAGAAACTTTAATAAAATAAACAAACACAAAACAGCGCGACAGCCCCTCGCGGACGACTGTGACGCACAAACAAAAACAAAAACACAAAATAACTTCAGGCCTGGTCCTCTCTCGTCTTTCACTGTCGTCACTCCTCCTTTTTATCCTTCCAGAGCTCCTCCGTGAGACTCGAAACCGGTGAGTGGTGCAGGTGTCGCTCATTATCAATTACTCCACCGGCCTCGCTCCGTTCCCACGGCTCTCGGCCCCGCCCCTCTCGTCACATACCCCCATCGCCCCCCGCCCCTCGGCCCCGCCCCTCCCGGCCCATACCCCCATCGCCCCTCGCGGGCCGGGGGGTACTCACGAGACTGCGCTCTACTCCTCCCCCCTCCGGGGGAGCCGATCACGGCGGCCGCGGCGTACCTGGGGGTAAGAACAGACAGACGAGGCGAGAGAAAAGTAGACGGAAGGATGAGGAGAGACAGAGACGAGAGAGGAGAGAGAGGAAAAAAAAAAAATCTTGTTCCGGTTCCCAGACCCACTGCAGCTTGGTCTTCAACCGGCCGAGAGGCTCTCACTCGCGGTGCCATGCAATGGTACTGGACATTGTTGGTGGACGGCCCACCGCTCCTCCGCCTCCTGGCGGATGGCGATGGCTCCTCCTATTGTGGGCAGCCGGCAGCGAGTCCCCCGTTCCCTGCTCCTCCCCAATCATGGCGGATGGCAGCAGGCTCCGGCCTCCTGGCAAATGGGCAGACTCCTCCGCTCCATAACGGACGGCAGCCACCCCTCCTCGACCCAGGAGCGCGGCAGCAAGCTCTCCGTCTCACCTCGTTTTCCATAGTTCCAGCACCACCGCCTCGGGCAGCCACCGGCGGTCTCTCCGCTTGTTCCTGCTGCCCGATCTCCTCAGCACCACGATCCCCCTCAGCAGCGAGGGCTCTCTGACACAGCGTGTCCCTCCTTCCTCCCGGGTTTCGGCACCAATGTAACAACGTTTGTAGGTCGGGAAGGAGGAGGCAGGAACCGGCGAACATTCAAAGAAACTTTAATAAAATAAACAAACACAAAACAGCACGACAGCCCCTCGCAGACGACTGTCGCGGACAAACAAA